AATGGTTTGTTTACTTCATTTAAATGAATGAAATCGTAATAAGATCGAAAATTAAGTTAACGTGCAGGGGTTAATGATGTGGATTGTATAATAGCAATTTTGGGTATGTGAATGGCTTGTTTTTCTGAAATATACAGTAGTGGTTAAACAGAGTCTACATTTTTTTTGAAATACTCGCCTTTATACATTATGTGTCGGGTCAAATGTGGATCTCCATAGTACAATTTCTGCCAAATTATAGATTCAGGATTTGAAAATGTTTTAAGGACCCTCAGAGCATCCCAATAGGATCGATAATTTTATATGGAGAATACTTTAAAATATGAACCTATATTGAAGATTTTCTGACAGGAGGCCTTTTCTCCTCTTAAACTATCACCCAAAACAGGACAGGAACTTTTTAATATTTTTCTAAGAAATATTGTATCATTCAAGAATACAGAATATCAAATGACGAATATAGCATAAAATATCTGCTAAGAAGTATTTAACCCTCCAAAAACCCTTGTTATCCAATTTCAGCCCGTCAAAATACCAAAAACAGGTCATAGGACCTCTGACGAAAACCGTTTCCTTTGTAGGAAGGCCTGAGGAATGGCCTTTAGATATAGCTCCCATATATAGTTTCGGCCGATTTTAGGTAAATGGTGCACCAAAGTCCCTGAAAATCATTTGATTTACACGAATTTTGGCATAGCGTATTGAATTAAGTCTAGAATGACGTGTGCTAAGTTTCGTGAAAATCGGTTCAGATTTAGATATAGTTCGCATATATACTTTCACCCGATTTAAGGTAAATGGTGTACCAAAGTCCCTATATATCTTTCGATTTGCACGAAATTTGGTATAGCCTAATGAATAAGGTCTAGAATGATATGTGCTAAGTTTCGTGAAAATCGGTTCAGATTCAGACATAGCTCCCATATATATTTTCGTCCGATTTACGGTAAATGGGGTACCAAAGTCCCTATATATATTTCGATTTGCACGAAATTTGGTATAGCCAACTGAATTAGGCCTATAATGATGTGTGCTAAGTTTCGTGAAAATCGGTTCAAATTTATATATAGCTCCCATATATATTTTCGTCCCATTTACGGTAAATGGGGTACTAAAGTCCCTATATATCTTTCGATTTGCACGAAATTTGGCATATCGTAATGAATTAGGTCTAGAATGATGTGTGTAAAATTTCTTAAAAATCGGTCCAGATTTAGATATAGCTCCCATATATATGTTCGCTCGATTTAATGTAAACGGTATACCAATGTCCCATATATCCGTCCATTTGGGCGAAATTCGACACAGTGTACTAAATTGGGTCTAAAATGATGTATGTAAAATTTCTTGAAGGCCTATCTGACCAGATTTAGATATAGCTCCCGTATATATTTTCGTCCGATTTAATGTAAATGATGCACCAAAGTCCCTTAATATCTCTCGATTTGCACGAAATATAGCACACATCATTCTAGACCTAATTCAGAACCAATTCAGCTATACCAAATTTCGTGCAAATCGAAAGATATATAGGGACTTTGGTACCCCATTTACCATAAATCGGACGAAAAGGGTTCATCTATTGAATATATCCAAAGTGGTGAAGGGTATCGTATAGTCGGCCCCGTCCGACTTTACTACTTTCCTTACTGGTTTTACTGATCGACTTATGGGTCTCTTTATACCCTTCACCACACTGTGGTACAGGGTATTATGTCTTTGTGCATATGTTTGTAACAGGCAAAAATAATCGAGCTAGACCCATGGTTCCTTTTGAGAATATGCATAAAATAACTTTCTATGTCGATTTATGCATGTCCGTCCGTCCGTCTGTCCATGTTAAATTGTAAACAAAGTACAGGTCGCATTTATGATCCGAATTGGATGAAATTTGGCACATCTCATTTGTTTGGCACAAGGACGAACCCTATTGAAATTGGGAAAAATCGGTTCAGATTGAGATATAGCTCCCATATATAGTTTCGTCCGATTTAAGGTAAATTGTGTACCAAAGTCCCTATATATCTTTCGATTTGCACGAAATTTGGCATATGGTACTGAATTAAGTCTAAAATGATGTTGCCAAGCTTCGTGAAAAGATTCATAGCAAGGCCGATTGACACAACGTACTGAAGTAATATAAATTAGTCTCTAGCAATTTTCCCTGAAATCGGTTCAGATATAGATATATAACAATACTGCGTCGTCTGTTAAGATACATATGTAGAAGGGTGAAGGGTATCATATAGTAGGCCCAGTCCGACTTTACTACTTTCCTTACTGCTTTTTAGTTTAGCGACGCACGATTTTCGTCGATCACTGCAAAGCAGAGCTCTTCTCTACAGCGGCTCCTGGCAATCTGCATTTAAAACGACGGCTATTTAGCAGTTGTTGGCGCCCTTTACCTCTTTTGTAAAGGTCCGTGGGTCCTTTTGTAGTTTCCAATATTTTCTCGCCCCGAGCTTCGCCTCCATTAGTCGATGAATTCTAGCCGACGTGAGTTCTGCAGTGTCCTTTGAATTCGCATTCATCAGCGCCTTATGGGTCTAATTTTTTTAATTTTTTAGTTCACCGGACGGACCATTTTCGTCGATTATTCCATAGCAGAGCTCTCCTTTGTAGCGCCTCCTGGCAACATTGGATATTAGACCAACCTCCCTCAGTTAGTCTAGTGTTAGTCTCCTTCAAATTTGGATTGTCTCCACTTTCTCTTTATATCAGCCGACTCCACTTTCTACAGGCCTTCAGTGCTATTTAAGGACCCAAATTCAAGTATTAACAATTCCCATTTCAATTCGCAACTGTCCAGATTATTGAGATGACCTTCTTGCACCACTTGTTACATGATCTTATTATTGATTGTAGCCATCACCTCCTTATGGGTTCTTTTTTTGGTTTATCGAACGCACTATTTTCGTGGATTACTGCATAACAGAGCTCTTCTCTGTAGGATCTCCTGGCAACTTGCGCTTGAAACGACGGCCATTTATCAATTGCTGCTGCTCTTTTACTCCTTTAGGGATTCTCGTGTTTACTCGCCTGGTGTCGCTCGTCTTCTGGATATTAGAACTAGCTTCACAGCCCTCAGTCGATCGATTCTCCTGGCGGACACCTTCAACTCTTTATTGGCTTCACTTTCTCTCCGTCGTCAGACGACTCGAAGCCCTTTATCATTTTTGTGGGTTTGACATTCGTCTGCTCGTCCGGAGACCCAATACTCTCAGCCGCTTCCGAAGAAGTGGGGAAAGGTCAGGCTTATATTTTTTGAGCATAAGTATGCTGTTCGAAATTTGTTTTCCGATTCATCTTGGCCAGTTTTTATCCCGGATATCTGATTTTCTCTTTTCGCGAACCAAGTCTTGGTTCACTTCTTTTATTATATTGTCAGTTTCTTCATTCCTTCGGCATTCTAAGACAGTTATCTTGGTCTTACTCTAGTGTTCAGATTCGGAATTTGAGTCCCCGGCTGTCTCGGAAGGTTGGGTCGAGATTGGTCTTCTCCTGTGTTTCTTGAACTCACATCCGTTTTTGTAAGTTGGCTGCGTGCTTGTAGCGATACCTTGACAACAGATGCCAAGACATTCAAATCTTTAAGATATGTGACTCGTGGGCAGATCAACGACACCTGCCGGTACTGAGTTCTTTATGCTCTGCGCCGTAACTTTATTTTTCTTATTTCATCCATGCTTGCTAGGGAATATCCCCGAAGTCCGTTTTGGTCCGAGGGGGCAATATTCTAAATTTGGGCGATAATATTATCCCATAAAATCCTGATTTAACTGATTAAAATAGATTTGTATGATCATCCGCCAACTGCCGGTAGGAGACTGAAAAATTTTCTAGATCATTGGTGGGCATAAAAATATTGAGAGTAAATGTGGTGAGCGTATCTGAGAATTCATCATTAACCCTTTCCGTGTCAAACAAAAAATTTTGTCCGAATAAAAATTTAAAATTTTGTATTTAAAATCATATAAAGAAAAAAAATAGGATTTTAACCCTCGACACAAAAACATCAATAGTAACGGTAATATGATAACCGAAAAATCGCAAAGAAAGAGAGTATTTAACCATCGAAGCTCAAAGGGTTAAAAACAACTGGTAGACACACGTATATGGCTAAGCATGCCTGCCCCAAATAGCCAACATTTGTCCGAATGTGGCAAAATTTCGCACAGAGTACGAATTGGATCAAGAATGACATGTATTGTTTGTTTGCTATGAATCGGTACGTATTTACATATAATTTTGTCTGAATTCATATAAAGTCCATAGGTCTGCTCGATCGACATCAAATGTCGGCATAAATTGCCGAATGACAGGTGTATGAACCAATTATAGATCACGTATAGGGGATGAAAGATCTTCATGTACAATAGTGTAGACAGACCAATGACGGTTTACCCCTTCACCAAGGTATTTCATACATAGTGGGAATTTTCCATCAACCGACCAGACCTTGATTTTGTCTCAAAGTGTAATAACCAATTTATTCCTCTAACTTGAAATATAATTTAATACCCACAATGCCAGAAGCAGTTTTACCTTATTGACATTTAGCAGAATTGACATACAGCAGCTAAGTGCAATGTGTACTTTTCATTTCACTTAGCTGCTGCAGACAACTAACAATACACTCTTCAAAGTTTTCCACCACTTGCCTCACCGAGTTAATAACTTAATTCCAATATTATATTGGATTAATGTCTTAATGTCAAATGCAAGCTCTTCTAATCAATTCCAATTTTGTCTTCCCCAAAGAAAAGAGTGAAATTATGTGAATAAGAAACAGGTATGGAAGTCTAAAAAAAAAGAGTGGAAAAAAGAAAGTTCAGTTACACATGCGGTTTTCTCTGGCCAAAAGGTTAATCAACAATCAATTTATTTGATTGCCATTGAAAAGTCAAACACAAACAAACACACCAACATCAACAATAAAATTAAATATTTCGTTAAACAAAATTTTTATTTTTTTCTCATTTGAAATTCTCTTTTTGTAGGCAATCGTATTTTAACACGTTTCAATGAAATCTATGCCCCCACTGCACCATTTCCAACAACAACCGCAGCGGCAACAACAATACCTAGTGCCAATGCCAGCAGCACAACTTCAAATAAAACCAAAGCCAAACCGACCCCAACAAACTCGCCGCCAGCAACAACATTGGTACAACAACACCATGATCACGATGCCGCTGCAGTAGCAGTGAGTGCTGCCCATTCTACACCTGCAGTGATGGCAACCGCAACACCACAACCAATGCACAAACCTCCATTGCCACCCGATTTGAATTGTGAACGGGCACGTATCGAAATGCGTCTAAACGAAATTGAAAAACGCCAGACTGACGTGCGTACAGCATGGCTGGATCTGCTGCAGTCCGTGAGAGAGGCCAGAGAAGTGGCCAGCCTGGAGGAGGGTGTCGCCTTTGTAACCAATTGGATATTGAATACGGCCGAACAAAAGCTTAATCGTCAGACGAGCATTGGCTGTGATGTCAAGGCATGTGAACAGCTGAGAGCTGCCCACGACAACTTGGAGTTGGAATGCCGTGAAACATATGGTTTCTACGCTGAACTCCTTTACAAGATCGACGCGTATGCCGGCAATAAGGATACACCCGGTTATCGTGACCTATTACCACAAAAGGAATTCATGCAGTTTGTATGTCGGTCGTTTGCCACTCGTCTGGAGAGGCGACGCAATATTTTAATAACTTCGTTGAGATTTTATCGTTTTGTAAGCGAATACTTTGAACGGACCACAGAGGTATTCGAATCTCTAGTCATGGGTAGTGGTAAGAATGTGGAAGATTTGGCGGCGGCCACCAGTACACTGCAAAAGCTGAAAAGTTCGCAACAGAGTTTGGGTAAGTGGAGTATGATGAAGGGAGTGGGTCAGTTATATGGGTATGCATGTAGCATGTGGTTTTGGTATATGAGTAGAAATTCCTGAGGTTTTGAAAATGTTAAAAAAATGAAATAAAACTGGAAATCAAATTAAAGTAAAAGGGTAATATTTCAAAAATATTTAACATTATTGTGGCCTGAATAAAAAGGATGACAAAAAGTATAAAAAGGGGGAAAAATCAAACAAAACTAAATGTAGATTCCTATCGATTTGAAGCAAATATCAAAAATATCAAAATGCTCAATTTTGTACGTTGTGCAAAATTCCATCTCAATATTACAAATATGAGGAGTTTGGTGCACCATTTACTTAAAATGGGATGATAATAGTTATGGAAGCTATACCCAAATATGAACCGATTTCAACGAAACTTGTCACAGCTTAGATTGTACTAATTTCAGCAGGTTTTGTTTCTAATGGCCATATTTTGGATCCTACATAAAATCGGACGATTTTCAAGAAATTTTACACACATCATTCTAAGCTCAATTCAGTACGCTATGCCAAATTTCGTACAAATCGAAGAATATATAGGGACTTTGGTTTACCATTTACATAAAATTGGACGAAAATATATATGGGAGCCAGGGACATACGCAGGGGGGCAAACCGCCCCCCTATATGATTTTTTCCCACAGTAAATTTATGTTTGAAACAGCGATTTTTTTCATTTTGTACTACCGGGCCCCCCGAAATGAAATCCTGTGTACGTTGCTGATAGGAGCTATATCTAAATCTAAACCGATTTTCACGAAATTTAACACACATCTTTCTAGACTTAAGTCAGTACGCTATGCCAAATTTCATGCCAATCGAAGGATATATAGGGACTTGGGTGCACTATTTACCTAAAATCGGCCGAAAATATAAATGGGAGCTATATTAAAATCTGAATCGATTTTTCCGAAATTTAACACACATCTTTCTAGACTTAATTCAATACGCTGTGCCAAAGTTCGTGCAAATAAAAAGATTTCCAAGGGGCTTTAGTGGACAATTTACCTAAAATCGGACGAAGATATATATGGGAGCTATATCTAAATCTGAACCGATTTTTCCCAATTTCAATAGGGTTCGTCCTTGGGCCAATTAAGTGACCTGTGCCAAATTTCATCCAAATCGGATCATAAATGCGACCTGTACTTAGTTAACAAAAATACATGGACAGACAGACGGACGGACATGCATAAATCGACTTAGAAAGTGATTCTATGCATATTCTCAAAAGGAACCATGTGTCTATCTCATTTCCGTTTGCCTGTTACAAACATATGCACAAAGACATAATACCCTGTACCACAGTGTGGCGAAGGGTATAAAAACTGGTCATGGGTGACTGTTCTGCTTGAGTAACGTAGTAGTTTCAATTCAGATGAATATACAATTTTTTTGCCTAAAGTCTTCGGAAAAAATCGAAACCGAAACAAGTCACCATGACGACTCAAATCAGTGCCTTTTTGATAGGTCATAACGTGGTATTGATGGGTCATTTGCTGTACACTAGAGTTCCGGAATGTATTGATGGGTCGTTTGCTGTACACTCTATTCCTCAATTCAAAAGGAATGATCGGTACTAGGTCCGGTCATTTCGTTCATCTAGCCCCTTTATACCCAGTCGTTCATTTTCTCTTCGTCTAGTTGCTTTAAATACAATCGTTTGTCTAAATTTTCGATTGACTAAATTGGCTGACGTGTACCTATGATTAAACTATAAATAACAATGGAACTAAGTGAACTGCGTTATACTTTTTGCGAAAAAGATTTAACGTCTTCAGGAAATCGAATGCCCAGCTCTAATTAATTCAAAAAAAAAATCTATTCCGTTGAAGGAACAATCGGTACTTGGTCCGTATCTTTTGCTCATCTAGTTCTTTTTGTTCCAGTTGGTCATTTTTGTTCACGTCCACCTTTGCTTGCTTTGGACTAATCGTTCAACGAGATTATCCCTGTTTATTGACTAAATTAGCAGACATGTATTAATAAACGTTTGAACTAAAAAAGCTGTGGACTTCATGATGTATGATTGACCTATAAGGAACTAAATGAATTGCATGGTTATTTTTTGTGGAACGAATCGAAAACTTTTGAACGGCTTCAGGAATCAGAATGCCCAAATCTAACAAATTCAAGTAAGGATCGGTACTGGGTCCGTTTATATTGCTCATCTAGCTTTTTTTGTGTTCCAGTCTGTAATTTTTCCTCTCGTTCACCTATATTCAATAGTTCATCCAGATCTCCCCGTTCATTGACTAAATTAGCAAACATGTACTAATAAATAATTGAACTAAAATGAGCTGTGGTACTAAATGAATGACCTAGTTCCAATTACGATGAACCTAAAATGATCATGGACGATAAAGCCCAACTCCACCGTACAGCCCCGACTTTGTTCAATGAAATTATTCCGCAAAAGCAATTGTCGGTACTAGGTCTGGTTTCTTGGTTCATCTAGTTACTTTTGCTTCAGTCGTTCATTTTTCATCCAATCGTACGTCCAGGTCTCTCCGTCATTGGCCGAATTAGCTGACATATAACAATGAACGGTTGAACTAAAAATAGACCGAAGACCGAAAAGATTCAGGAACGATAATGCCCTATTCTAGCATACAGCCCCGAATTGTCCTGGTTACTGCAATAATTGATAAACAATTAACATTTCATACTCTTCATAATGAGGCGGATATGTAAAATACCATAAAATCGATCGGGACTTTTATATAGGGAATATATATTTTTAAATTTATCGTAAAAAGATTTAACAAATCTGATAGTTTTTTTGTAGCTAAATAGTGTACCACATGAGAATCGTAAAACACAGCCAATTTTGCTGAGAAACGTGCCTAATATTGGAGGTACAGTTATATATGGGCTACCCTAAAAAGTGAACCAATATAGATAATTTTTGGCAAATCCTCCTATTTGAAAACCCAAATACTCCATGTATTTGGGATAAAACGACATATGTGGTATTGTATCGAATCCTGGATACATAAGAACCCAAAACTAAACAGCAATCTATCCAGAAATTGATCGTGGAAGAAGCCCTTCAAAAGAAATAATAGCATTTTTGTTCGAAAAAACAGGTCATGTTAGGAATCAGAAGGGGTGAACTAATCGTCAACATATTCCAACTTGATCTAGGGCTGGTAAAAATTTTACTATGTGAAATTGGTCGTTCCGTTTACGTTCGGGAGGTTCTCCTTGAAGTGAGCCGATAAGTGATATCTTCCTTAATTATACAATCATAGTGAAAATATAAGGTTGCCCAAAGTTCGTTTTAATATCCGGGGATGTAGAAGAAGGAGTGGAGCGATATTCCCCATCTTCTTATTAGAATTAAGTTTGGAAGACATATTACCATGCGTGAAATTTTAATGAAATTGGTTACTATCTTTAAGAACTATTGTGCGCACCCGACCGACAAACAGACGGACGGACATTTGTAAACCGAATTCAAATTGTCTGAAACTATTTTGGTCTACAGTATCGATACTTCGATTGAACATTACTGTAGTAGGAAAGTGTGATTACCCTGAGGGCATATATGAACTAAATTTTCCGCCCTTAACTTTTTGGCTTATGATTTCAAAATTTTATTTACTAATAAAAAATTAAAAAAAAAAAATAATAAACACACAAAAAAGTCTAACCTTTTTTAATTTTTAGTTTTATGCGGTCTCTTTCTCTGAGTAACCTCCCATTTCGATTTAATAACCTCTTTCATTTTCAAACCTTTTATTAAATTTCAAAATGTCTCTATTTATTTTTGTTTGGTTTTTGTATTCTTTCGTTTTTTTTGTAGCTGCCATTGAACGTGAATTGATCAAGGATGGCGAAAAGCTCAGCGATATGCTCTCGATGCCGGTTAAAGATGCTCTTGGCCGTGACCTACACATCGACTACAGCGATGACATTTACAATATTCGTGAAATTTTGGACACCACCCTGGCGAGACGTAAAATATTCAGTGATAGTGTGGAGTTGCAAAAACTCACCTTGGAACAGCTGACACACATTTTCACATACGAACAGGATGCCCGAATGGCCATAAAATGGTTGGACGATTTGTACAATGTCATGATCAAGTGCCATTCGCATGTTGGCTGTAATATCCATGAGATACAGGTGCAAAAGGATGAATTGCAAACATTTCAGGAAACTGGAAAGGTGAGTGAAGTGAGATAGAGGTTTTTTGTTGGTTTTTCAATTGCAGTGGATCGGGCGGGGTATATGGAGTACAATGAACGAGAAATAAATGTGTGTGTGTGTGAGTGTTTGTTTGGCAAAACAATGCAGTTATTCTGGTTACACCTGAACGGTCTGATGACGGTCATTTGTAGTCAATAGGATTGGCGGATAGCCATAATTGTTGGTCATGTGTATGGTTAGGGTAATGTTAAAAAAGTGGCAACGGAGATATTGATCCAGTTTCATGTTATTGGTGTGTTCAGTTCATTTATTTACATTTATGGGAGTGTTGGTTTGTCGGTAAGGTTGCAATATAACAGTTGGGATGTACACTACATATACAGTTGAAATCATTTATAACGACGATCAAGGGACAGAGGTAATTGGTCGCTATAAGCGAAATAGAGGACAGAGCTTTTTCTGGACTTTTTAATACCATCGTTTTGACCGATACGTCTTAAAAACGGTGTCGTTGTAAAAGATTACGACGGCAATAAAAAATTACAAATTTGTTATTACAAATGGAAAGACCATCTAAATATATACCTTCCCAATTCGTAGTGTAGTGCAAATTTTACGTTTCTTTTGTTTTTTGTTCTGCATTCTATTCCTGTTGTACCGTTGACGTATTTTACGTGTCGTTCGATATGGTTGCACTTGTTGCACATTTTTTTTTTGTTTGTGGCCAACACCAACCACACCACAACACATTGTTCAAGGTAATTGTTGCTTTATAAGAATATCTTCGTTTTTTCAGTTTTTCGATAATAATTGCATTGTTTATGCTAGGCTGCAAATTATTTTCAGTTAGTTGGATGACTAGTTGGTGTTGCAACGGTTCAGTAACTGTTCCATAGAAATTACAGATATTAGGTGATATAATTTTCTACAGACAGGAAATTAGATTAGTTAGTTGGTGGTGTGGTGAAAGGAAAATATAAAAAAATAGAGATTTTATACAAATATGAATTCAAAAAAGACAAGTAACAAGTGAAACCAGTAAGGAAAGTAGTAAAGTCGGACGGGGCCGACTATATGATACCCTTCACCACTATGGGTATATTAAACAGATACTTAACAGAAATTGGATGACCTAAAAAAGTTGATATTTATCTATAATGTGAATCAACTGTAACCCATTTAAATGGAGATTTTGTGTGAAAATCTAAAACCCCCAAAACGTGGACTGATACTGATAACAAATGGTAGAGTATAAAATCATCAAATTACAATTTCGATTGCAAAGTTATATGAGGCAATTTGCCTAAACACCATTTGCATTACATAAATTAGGAATTAAATATATGTGGAATCTATATCCAAATATGATCCGATTTCAAGCCCAAAATGGCCCATATATGTCAATTATACCCAATATTTTAGTTTTGTTTTGTTTCTATCAACCATTATCATTATATGGACATTGGTGAATCTTTAACATAAAATGGATATATATATGGATATATCGCCAGGTTCGAGATTTTTATCACGATATCTTGAAGGCGGAAAGATTACCTAATGGCTAAATACGTTATAAATTTCACACTATGTAGGGTAAATACTGCACCATTTACATAATATCGACTATCCCCCATTCTATGGCAGAATACGCCTATATGGGGACTACCCCCAACACACGGAACAAATCAGCTAACTATTTTAATATAAACCAGTAAGGAAAGTAGTAAAGACGGACGGGGCCGACTATATGATACCCTTCACCACTATGGATATATTAACACTAGAACGCCAAAGGCAGTCATTTTGACCGCTTTCCAATTTCAAGTACAAAAGCAACTGTGCATTTAATGACACTTTTTTAAAATTTGGTGACTTTTTGTACCTCATGGAATTACGTTTATTATAAAAAATTCATCAAATTTAAAAAAAAGTGTCATTACGTTTATTATAAAAAATTCATCAAATTTAAAAAAAAGTGTCATTAAATGCACAGTTGCTTTTGTACTTGAAATTGGAAAGCGGTCAAAATGACTGACTTCGGCGTTCTAGTGTTAAACAGCATTATTAATATGAAATTGGATGAAATAAAATATGTGATATTTATCTAAATGTGAATCGGACTAGATCTATCCATAAATATGTCATTCGTTTGGGACAAAAGTATGAAAATCGATTTCAAACAAATATCTATAGATCATCCGTTGGGCTATGTCTGTACGTCTGGGAAACGTAACTACGTTATTCTAGGCTCAATTTTGTACGTTGTGCAAAATGTGATGTCAATCTGACAAACATGATGAGTTTGATGTATAATTTACTGTATTTATTTACCCAAATATGAAACGATTTCAACGAAACTTGTCACAGGTTAAGTTATACTAATTTCGGTACGTTTATTTCCTCAGCCATATATTGGTTTCTTGGTGCGTCAATAACTTCATATCAGTTATATCTAAATCTCAACCGATTTTTACGAAACTTGGCACACAACATTCTGGACTAAATTTAGTACTCTATGCAACATAAGAACTTTAGCACATTATTTAAATTAAATCGGACGAAAAAATATATATCTAGATCTGAACCGATTTTCACGAAACTTGGCAGACATTATTCTAGGCTCAATTCAGTACGTTATGCCAAATTTCATACAAATCGAACGATATAGAGGGACTTTGGTGCACCATTTACATGAAATCGGACGAAACTATATATGGGAGCTATATCTAAATCTGGACCGATTTTGACAAAACTTGGCAGACATCATTCTAGACTTAATTCAGTACGCTGTGCCAAATTTCATGCAAATCGAAAGATATAGAGGGACTTTGGTGCCCCATTTACCTTAAATCGGACGAAACTATATATGGGAGCTATATCTAAATCTGAACCGATTTTCTCGAAACTTTCCACACATCATTCTGGACCTAATTCAGTACTCCATGCCAAATTTCAAGCAAATCGAAAGATATAGAGGGACTTTGGTGCCCCATTTACCTTAAATCGGACGAAAATATATATGGGAGTTATATCTAAATCTGAACCGATTTTTCCCAATTTTAATGGGGTTCGTCCTTGGGCCAAATGAGTGACTTGTGCCAAATTTCATCCAAATCGGATTATAAATGCGACCTGTACTTTGTTTACAATTTAACATCTACAGACAGACGGACGGACATGCATAAATCACGACTCAGAAAGTGATTCTATGGCAAATTCTCAAAAGGAACCATGTGTCTATCTCGTTTCCTTTTGCCTGTTACAAACATATGCACAAAGACATAATACCCTGTACCACAGTGTGGTGAAGGGTATAAAAAGAGGGTTTTATGGGGACTACCCCTAAAAGGTGGCGAATATTAATAATTTTTGGTAGGTAGATTTGTTACCAAATACGACTACAAAATACCAAATTACAGTGGATTTGGTTGAAAAACGCGTTTACTAACCTAAAAATACCGAAAATTGGGGGTAACCTTATATGGGGCTACCAGAAACAATGGACATATATTTATAATTTTTAGTGGAGAGTTTTTCTTCCCAATAAAAACAGCCAATTCGGTCGAATAATGCGATCAAAACGCCAAAAATACTAAAAATTGGGGGTACCGTTATATGGGGGCTACCAGAAAAATGGACCTATATTTATACTTTTTAGTAGGGAAATTTGGTACCCAATAAGAACTCAATGTACCAAATTTCAGCCAATTTGGTTGAAAAACGCGATCAAGAACCTCAAAATACCGAAAATTGGGGGGTACCCTTATATGGGAGCTATGCCTAAACGTGGACCAATATAACCTATCGTCGATATTGGCCTGCAGACAAAAGCCGACTCTGTGCACAAATTTAGACGTTAGAGTGATTACAAAAGATGGATCGTCGTATAATTATACGCTGATCAAGAATATATATATACTTTATAGGGTCGGAAATGATTATTTCGATGAGTTACAAACGGAAAAAAAAAAATTAATGGAGGGTATATTAATATAGTATATAGGGTATATTATATGGTATTAATTAATACTATGGTGGAGGGTATAAAAACGAACTCTTTACCCATAAATCCACAATATCCGAGATCTTTTTATGATGACTATGCTTTTTGGGAAAATGAAAATCATAATAACAGACAAAATTAAGCTGAGCTTTTGTATGGGATCGATGTAAAGCCGAGAAACGGTAGATTCCTTTTTATACAGGGTTAAGTCAAAATATTAACCAATTTCGGCATATATGTTTTTAAAATTACGGCCACTTCGGTGGGAAAATATTTGTAAAATCTAAAAGTAGGCAAATGTTCTGCATAATTGTGTTTTGCCCTCCAAGAACACGGAATGCCAACTTAAAGAGAGAATTCGTTTAAAACATTCAAAATAGGGCGGTACATTTATATGGGGGCTATGCACAATCCTTGACCTAACCCACAATGCGAACTTACAGTTCCTTTAGTGAGAAAATATTGTTAAAACCCTCAAAATACCGAAAATGGTGTGGAATCGTTGAAAGGGAAGAGTTGATACGTCATGAGAACCCAAAGTATTAAATTACTGGGTTATCGCTCTATGGAGGCTACCCCGAAACATTGTTCATATCAGAATCTAATAAAGTTATTATTAAAGTATTACTAAGATCAATCAAATTATCTTATCAGATACTCCATTCGTTTGGTATTGGATTTGCAAGTGTAAACAATGTTGAGGTAACAATGGGAGGTGAACCAATGATCAATCGAATTGGACACTTCAGTCGCTTGATATTGGATTTAAAAATTTTCAAAATGTATACACTTTGATTAGAGGACTGATGGGTACCATACTCGAACCCAATCTACGTTTAATATAAACATACGATGTGCAAAATGTTTGTATCAAATCGGACACGGCATTCAATTGATATTAGATTCAAAAAAGTTTGACCCTTTGGGAGGATTTACTAGAAGTGGTGGACCGGTAAAGCTCATCTCCAAACATTGTATAGGTTTGGTAAAAATACTTGGTTCAAAGTTTGGTTCAAGTCGAATGCTCCATTCACAAGGAAAAATGTCGTCAGCCCAGCCGAACTCAGCAGCATGATTTCTACTTTCAATATACCTAAATTCGATTCGGGAATATGCCACAAAAAATTGCTGCCACGATGAAATGAAATATTGGAAAATTAAATTAACATACCGAAAATTGGGGGCGTTATATGGGGGGCAATACCAAAACATGGATAATTTTTATACTCCCAGACTTATGGCTATACACTGTAACGCGCAAAAATGTGTCTCATCGAAATATTGGCTTTAGGCCCCATGTTTCTTGGGACCAAATCCGTTTCAGACAATGTTGAGTCCATTTAGAAATGTCCGTCCGTCTGACTGGCCGGCTGGCGCACACGATAATTCTCGAAATAGGTAAACGATAGGTAAATAGGTAAAAAAAATAATTTTATAATATCAAGCGAACGGGATTTACAGGTTTTCAAATCATAGTTTACATAACATAGTATTTTTACCAAGCCTAGATAACAGCAACGTACACAGGATTTCATTTCGGGGGGGGGCCGGTAGTACAAAATGAAAAAATTCGCTGTTACAAACATAAATTTACTGTGAAAAAAATTAATTTCGAATCCGATTTGAATCAAACTTGTAGTATCTTTACCAAGCCTAGATAAAGTCCGAAGTCCATTGGTCCATTCCTTCTGCTTCCTCCCCTACAAATGGTCAAAGCTTCCAATATTTTTAAATTAAATATTTGCGATAATATAGCCCGATTTGAACCAAACTTTGTCCAACATATTTTTGTAATTCCGTAGAATGTCCGCAAACAATAGGCTGAAAGTATATATCTGTCGGCAACCCCGACTAACACATTTTTACTTGTTTGTACGCATGTTTGGCACTGACAATCCAAACCCAAAAAGTGTGTCCAAAAATAGCTTTCTAAACTTGTAAATTTAATTTGAATCGAATTGAATAACCGATTTGATTAATCGATCGATTTCATATACCATATATAAAGCAAATAATAAAACCAGATGTCAACTATTGTGCTCTACTGGCAGGCGAATCGATTTCAAATTGTCTAATACCGACTAACACTTTTTTACTTGTTTGTACGCATGTTTGGCACTGAGAACCCAAACCCAAAAAGTGTGTTCAAAATCTTAAAAATATCAAATTCTAGGGGTCTCCGGTGAATATCTCTATGTTCTGCAATCAGAATGACATACTTTTGCGGGGGAGTGGACCGATATTCCCAATTTTCGAATTAGATTTTATTTCATTTTTAGCAAAGTTTGGATGAAAATGGTTACTCCCTATGTCAGCTATTGTGCTCCACTGGCAGGCGAATCGATTTCAAATGAAATAGCTAAACGATTAATATTTGAAATTATAGACACTCTGATAAGTCCGACTCGGCGGAACTGTTGGAGGGAACGATGGAGGGTATCATCGTATATTGGGGTTATTTATCCTCTGAAACAAGAAAATTCCAAATTACAGACACTTAGGTTGGAAAAACGAATACGACCTTCACCATACCGAAAATGAGCCGTTACCTTTACTAGTGGAATATATACAAAATATTGGCATATATTGAATATATTCCGCCATGAGGTACATTAACTTCTAAAAACACAAAATGATCACTTATATATCATAGTTTGGAAAATATATCTATTACCATCAAAATATGGTACTTGGGCAAAAAATTCCAAATTATTGCTACATGGATTGGAAAATTTGCATAAAGTGGTATACACACTATCACTTTTGAATGACACTTTGGCCCAAATTTCGCTTGTTCTGTAGTGTGGCCTGTCATGTTTGTCATTTATCAGTGACCCAAAAAAAAAATGCATCGTTTTTGAACAGTCAGTAATCGATAAAAAAAAGTGAAAGTATAAACTCGCCTTAAGTCCTAAAACTTCTTGTCATAGCATGTACCTATATTGCAAAATATTCTGCAAAAATCCTCATTATCCACGTATTTATACAATTTTATGGAAGGGACTAGAAGAATAAAAATAACCAAGTAACGGCAGGACTTTAAAATTTTAAATATGGATTAAAATGTTTTTTTCAAAGACATTTTGTATCCACCAAATTCCGGAATACTTAATTAAAAGTGGTAAGGGACCATAATACGGAGCTTGCTCCAAAACATGGCTATTATTTAACATATTCGGTAAATATGTTTTTCACCCTCCAAGAATTGAGAATCCCAAAGTACAGCCACTTCGTTTAGAATATGCGGCTAAAGCCATTAAATTTAATGTCAAAGGGGTAGTATCGTTATTAATTCGGCAAAACAGGAATTTAAAAATAAATACATACAATTTTTAATACGAAAAATTTTGATGTGTTGCAAACCGAATGACAACTTATTTTTAGAGTACAACAATCTCAATTATTAAGATTGCTCAAGATCAACGTGTTTTGTTGCAAAATAAAAACAATTTTTTGCACAACTTGATATGTAATTGCTAAATACATTTCAAATCCCCTTCTCTTCTTCAGTCTTGGCTAACAAAAAAGGTCATTAGAATTCTTAAATTTCAAAATGGAAATCTGAAGACAATTTGCAGCAAGTGAAAGGTACAATTCAACACAAGAAGATCTCATGTAATACAACCTCACAACATTTGATATTCAACAAATGAATAACATTTGTATAAACCAAAAAAACATGAGATGAACATTGAAGCACGTGCTCTCAACTGTAAAACCCTTCTTGGAAAAGCCCAAGACTTAAACGCTACACCAAAAAAATATATAAAAATAACAACAACTCTTCTTCATTTCTTCTTTTTGCAGAGTATCTTCCAGTACGGCTGTCAATTGCTGGAGGCATCACAGACGTTGCGCACCACCTGCAAGCTGGAAATCAACGAAGCATTACAAATGCAACAGCAATTAGAGAAAACGTGGCACAGTCTGCAGGCTATAAGTCAGGAGCACATGACACGACTTCGCGTTTCCGCTGTCTTTCATCGCAGTGTCGAAGATTATTGTCAGCAGCTGATCGATTTGCGTCGTACCCTACGCACCATGTTGCAGGAGCAACAATTGCAGTTGCGTCAACAACAACGTAGCAGTAGCAGCGGCGTTAGCAGTGAATCTGCCTCGCCTCAACCATCCTCCACAACGTCGACAATGACACGCAATATGACAATATCATCGGCAACATCATCACCCTGTATGATGTTGCTGCATTCACGACAATTATCCCGTAAGGCAGGCATGGCTACAAACCAACGAAAACCAAGCAACGAACGAACAACGACAACTAACACAACGGCGGCAACAGCAACAACAACATCATTGCTGAAAGATTGCGGTGCAGCACTGGCTGAGAAATCTTTCAACGAACAGAGTGAATTGTTGCGCAAGTATTTGGTGGAACGTGAAAAACTTCTGGTGGAAGTAGGTCGCATGGTGCGATTGGGAAGGTTATTGAAAACTCGTTTGAAAGAACCTTTCGTCTTGGATGCGGCCACAGGCAAAAGGTAGGTAGCTCTGCTGTTAATATTTTCCCCAAGAGATTTCTCTTTTCTATTTGGGTTTTATTTTTTGGAAAGGTGTTGGTTACCACTGAAATGGCATAGAGTTTTCCTATTGTCTTTTTGTTATTTCCAAGGAATCTTTAAATTTCGTATGAAGGAAAGAGAAGTATTGTAAAAAAGCGAAATTGCTGTTGTATAAAAAATAACAAATGTTTTGTTTAATGGAAAGTAAACAATTTTTTCTCGTCTCGATCTAAATGATGAAATATCAGGTCACTGAACTATAAAAGAATTTATGTCATTCTAACATCGAATTGCACAGTGGTTAAATGGCATAAATAAAATTAAATATTATGAAAACAGTATAAATTGTTTATAAAATCATTTTTAATCTTCATATCGGTTATAAGTATCCGTTTAATCGATCGTCGTTATAAGCGGCTTCGAATGTTGGTATTTTTCCATAAAATGACTATAATTATACCCTACATAACTATGTTGTCAGGGTATTATAGCCCCAAGAGTTTGTAACGCCGCGAAATATTAGTCAAAACCTTCAAAAGATACTGTGTTAAATCTCGAAAAGCTAGTAGACGTCTGTCCATTTTAATTTGTAAGCACGAAAATGAAATTGGCCACAAAAATTATGGCCAATCTTCACGAAATTTTGCAAGTAGGATGGGTTCTGGCTGTTGTTTCTGGTAAAGATCGGTTAATATTTAGGGAATGAAATGGACCAAATACGAAATTTTTGTCGGTTTTTCTGGTCGCTCCAGAGGCCGCAATTATGGCCCGAACATCGTACTTGGAGAAGGGGATCGGACCAAAGAATAAGCACGCCTGTTTTGATAAAGATCGGGTCAAAGCGGGTCAAATGGAACCTGACTTTCGAGTGAAAAATGACGAAATTTGGATTCTATGGCGTATATATTTACTCCTAAAGTGCATAGATCCGAGAAGTTGATAATATATCCAATTATATATATATATATATATTTAAAGGCGCTTACGTTATCATATATTATTTAGTAACCCTTTACCACACTAGAGGGCGGATATATAACGCTGATCGATTTGAATTTTTCCATGGGGTTCTAGTTATGGTCAAGGACAGCGCTTATAATTTTCGGTGATGACCAGACAATAATTTTGGGATGAAGTGGACTGAAAACTTAATTTTTACAATTTTTCGAATATATATATATAGGCCACAGTTATAAGGCGATGATCACCATACAACCAACGCTGTAGTCAATTTGAACAAGTAATAAGAAGGGCTGTACTGAATATTAGTAATATTTGGAAAATATGTCAGTGTATTGAAGATGTGCTGTTGACCTTTAATTTCAAGAGGATTCGTCCTTGTTACCAAATATTGACCAGGCCAAATTTCATCCAAATCGGATTATAAATGCGGCCTGTAGTTGTGTAGGGTAATACATGGACGGACCGACTATACTGCTTCACTCACTGGTTTCGGTTAAAGAAAGGATTTAAAATTTTATGAAAATTTTAATGAGTTACCAACATTATGTACATTTGGGAAAATTCTTGGAATGCCCAATTAAAGTGGCCTGGGCGAAAAACCCCGAAAATTTAAAAGAACTGTTTTAAAAAATGGATATATATAAAATACCAAAAATGAGGCGAGATCGTTTGGAGACTATGTCGAAAGATGGACTAATACCTTCTTTCCACACATGTTTTCATTCTTCAGTAAACTGAAATGTTGAATTAAAGCCACTTCGGTCTGAAAAGTGGCTAAAATCTTCAAAATTTCGAAAATGAGTTGGTCATTTATATTGGGACTATGTCACAACATGGAAATATGTCGAAAACATTCTAGAAATTTATTTTCCATCCTCCAAATATCCAGAATGTCAAATTGCAGCCAATTATGTTTAAACAAATTACGCAAGTAAGGAGATAGCTTTATGTCGAAACATGGACCAATATCTTATTTGCAATAACAAACATCCTAAATCAAAATTTCAAAATCTTTGGTCACAACTAAATCTATAGACTTTTATTCTGAAGGGATCTCTAACAAATATTTCGAGGTGTTGCAAATTTAATTGCAATCCCCTAAAGACCAATGCGGTCAATTTCCGAAGCTATATTATCCATTTTCAGATTTTAATTTAGTCTTCTTTCGAAGTTCGTAACTCACTTTGTTTCACTTTCTTTAACCACAGTGCCACATTTGCTGCTGTCATTGTATTTGCGAAAAATCATTTACATTTTCAGAAAATTGAAAATCTAAATGCATTTCTGTTGTTGTTATTGTTTACTTTTGTGTGTGTATGTATGTCTACATACTAAATGTATGATAATTATAAACATATTTATATATAATTAACACCAAATGCACATATCTCGAAGATAAACGTCGAAAAGCCAGACAGACAAATAAATAAAACAAACGTAGAGATGTTTGAAAATCAGGATTGTCCAATCTTGAATGCAGAAATTTTGGGAATATATGTTCCGACACAAATCATAAAATATATTTTGTTTTTGCAAAATAGTCAGGCTTAATCCCAGTTTGTTGTTTTTATAAAAAACAACTATTTATTAGTGGGGAATGTATGGCATTGTCCGCCGAGGGGTAAGGCAGGGAAGACTATAGTTTCGGATCTCGCCACTGATCCTCATCAGTTCCCTTAGTTTTTTGTTGGGATATTCTCCCCAGAAGCTATTAATAGCTTCTTTACAAAAAACCTTTCAAACCCAAATGTCTCTTGTGACAATTCGAAGTTGTTACGTTACCAGCGATACGACCCCAATGAGAAGTTCGTTTCGTTGGCGCCTGACTTCGTGGTCAACAAGGCATTTACAGACAACTACAATACATTTCCCACTGCTATGTGTCGTCACTTTGTGACGAATGCACATAACGAATGACGAATGAAATTTTGATACAAAGCGGATTTAAGTATAAAATGAAATGGTATAATTTGGTTCTCATACATAATTTGGTCCTATATATAATTTCTACAGATTCGATGTAAATTAAGCAGTAGAGACAGTAGTTATGTACTTCTAGAATGTATGGTTTGCAATAAATGGTATAGAGTCTCATATAGTTGATATTGCACGAATTTAGTTCTTTACGGTTTTCAATATAGATCCATGTTTCGGCTTAAATGTTATTTTAAAAAAATCCATGATTAGGGCGATCCCATAAAAATATGTTTGAAAAAATCCACACTTTGGATAACACCATAAAAATATTTAAAAAAAAAATATTTTGAAAAATTTCACCCTTAGCACAACCACATAAAAAATATTAACGATTGAGACAACCGAAAAAAATCTACGTTTGGGACGAACCCATAAAAATATTGAAAAAATCTAGGTTTTGGACAACTATTAGAACAAACCCACAAAAATAGATTTTAAAAATCTGCGCTTAAAGCGACAACATAAAAAATATTGTTTTTACTTAGGTGTTGCCGACATATATATACCCTAGCCAATGGTTTTCAGAGGACTTCAAAGCTACACACAGGTTTTCTTATTCGTATTATAAAAGTACATGTTTTTATCAAAGCAGTTTCGGATTTAATGTAGATCAAATTGGTTATTCAATTCGCTTCAAATAAAATTTACAAATTTATATAACATTGACCATTTTCGCACATTCCTTTCGTCGGTTATTTGATTTATAAATATTGCAAATTTTTACCCTTTGTAGGGGAGGTACCAGATGGAGTAAACCAATGGGGTTCATAAATTTAGGCTTCATAAAGAGTTTGGTTCAAAGCGAATAATCCATTCAAATGATATTTATATCCTTCACCACACTGTTGTACATGGTATTATGTCTTTGTGCATATGTTTGTAACAGGCAAAAGGAAACGAGATAGACCCATAGTTCCTTTTGAGAATATGTCCGTCTGTCCGTCTGTTGGTGTTAAATTGTAAACAAAGTACAGGTCGCATTTATAATCCGAATTGGATGAAATTTGGCACAGCTCATTTATATGGCCCAAGGAAATTGAGAAAAATCGGTTCAGATTTAGATATAGCTCCCATTTTTATACCCTACACAACTATGTTGTCAGGGTATTATAGCTTTGTGCAGCCCCAAATGTTTGTAACGCCGCGAAATATTGGTAAGACCCACCTTTAAGTATACCGATCGTCATATCTCGACTAGCTGAGTCGATCTAGACATGTGTGTCCGTCCGTCCGTCTGTCCATTATAATTTGTAAACACGATACAGGCCACAGTTATGGACCAATCTTCACGAAATTTTGCATGTAGGATGGGTTCTGGCCCTATTGTTTTTGGACAAGATCGATTAATATTAAGGGGATGAAATGGACCAAAAACATTATTTTTGTCGGTTTTTCTGATTGCTCCAGAGGCCGCAATTATGGCCCAAACACCGCGAATTTTTGCATGGAGAAGGGGATCGGACCATAGAATAAGCATGCATGTTTTGATAAATATCGGTCAATATTTAGCGGGTCAAATGGACCCTTACTTTTGTGTGAAAAATGACAAAATTTGTATTCTATAGCGTATACATTTATTTACCCCTGAAGGATGTAGAATCCAAGAATTTGAAAATATATCCAAGAGGAGTGGTTGACCTTCAAATTGATACCAATTACGTTGTCGTATGTACTCGGATGTGGGAGTTACACTTAAATATTCACAGGTGCTTACGTATTCAAATATTATTTAGTAATCCATTACCTCCCTAGAAAGCGAAGATATAGCGCTGATCGCTTTGAAATTTTCCATGAGGATCCAGCTATGGTCAAGGACAACGCCT